CTAGAGGAGGAGGAGGAGGAGGACGGAGAGGAGGAGGAGGAGGAGGACGGGAGAGGAGGAGGAAGTCTGGCCTGTTAGCAAGGTGGAAGAGGGGGAAGAAAGAGGAAGAGAAGGAAAATACTCCAAAATAAAAACAAAAGAGAAACAGACAAAAAAACTCCATAAACTAATAAATTAATCGAAATATTATGCTTTCGAAAAATGTACCCTCCTCCTCCCCCAAAAAAAAATGAAACTAAAGAAATAAGCAAAAATAGAAGAAAAAAAAGAATTAAAAAAGGAAGAAATTGATCAAATAGTAGAATAATAAAACCCTCTGTCTTTTGTATCTGTATCCACTATTTGATTCTCTATTTATCTTCCATCTTATATCTACGTGAAAAGGCCAGGAGAGAGCGCTTCAACACGTTCAAACACGTCCAACCCTGCCCCAAGCCCAACACCCAACCCCGTCCAAACCCACCCAACCTGCCCAACCCCGCCCAAACCCACCCAACCCGCCCAACCCCGCCCAAGCCCACCCAGATCCCAACAGGCAACAACAATAAAAAAACTAAACAAACAAAGACAATCAGACTATAAAAGGGTAGACAAAGGATGCGAGTTTTTGTTGTGTATAATAAAGTACAATAAATTCTTAACAAAAAATATCCATCTTTCTATATAATTCTACCCTAAACATACTTAACCAAAACATCATAACATTGGCCAACAGCACATGCATATTTATATAACATACAACAATCTGGAAGTGCGGAGTGTGGAGGTAATATAGAGTTACATACTAAGCGTGGTGCTGAAGTGTCTGATGAGTAGGGCTGAGTATTGAAGAAGATGGTAGGTAGTCACTGCCGTGAGGTTTCCAGGATAGGTAATCCAAGTGTGGTCACTTCCAGAGTGAACTGAACTCTCCTTGATCCGAGCTGATGAGGAAGAGTTAAGGAGGTGAAGCAACCCAGGATATGGAGAAAGGAAACCCAGAGTGGTGACTAACACTAATCATAACCGGGTTTCGTCCCTTAGATGGCGTTGTTGGTAGTGCTGATAGTTAGATCATGACACAATAGATGGCGTGGTTCGTAATATTACACACACACTTAACACTGTATCATTTCAAGTTCCCCCGAATTGGTGTAATGTAGTTCTATAAACTTTAGCCATCTAATCAACAATACCTAACCTAACCTTCCAGCCAACCCTAACCCTAACCTTCCCAGATCCCCAACCTACTTCCAGCTATCCCATACCTAACCCTACAGCCACCCCTAACCTAACCAATCCTTCCAGCCAACCCCTAACCTAACCTAACCTTCCCAGCCAACCCCTAACCTAACCTAACCTTCCCAGCCAACCCCTAACCTAACCTAACTAACCAACCTAACCTAACCTAATCTAACCGAATCTAACCGTGTGTTTTGATGTTTGAGTGTTTAACGAGTTAGGTTATTAATTTTGATGCTATCCCAGTACACGTGAAAATGGTTCTACAATGAAAGCTCCAAATAACGGACTTCTACAGTGAAGCCTCAATAACGGACTTCTACAGTGAAAGCTCCAAATAACGGACTTCTACAATGAAAGCTCCAACGACTTCTACAGTGAAGCCTCAATATAACGGACTTATCTCTCCATAAAATCCGTTAGAGGGTGAGGGTTTCACATGTAAGGGACCCTTAATATAACGGAATGTCATCTCTATATAGTTCATTAGATGGAGGTTTCATATTATCTAACAGCCCCTCGATATAACGGATTTTTTTCCATGTAGTCTATTAAATAAAGGTTTCACTGTACTCTGTAATGTATGAAACTGTGTATGAATATCTGGTCTGTTTTATGTATGAATGTGCAATAGTTACCTGTAATCACAGAATGCCCTAATAACAACAAAAGGAATGTAACAAGCACCTCCCACGACCGTAACACACAGGTAACACACAAATAATACCCAGGTAACGCACAGGTAACACCCAGGTAACACACAGGTAATATACAGGTAACACACAGGTAATATATAGGTAACGCACAGGTAACACCCAGGTAACACACAGGTAACATAAAACGTAACGCACAGGAAAACACAGAACACACAGATAACACCCAGGTAACGCACAGGTAACACACAGGTACAGGTAACGCACAGGTAAGGCACAGGTAACACCCAGGTAACGCACAGGTAACACAGGTGACGCACAGGTAACACACAGGTAACACCCAGGTAACGCAGGTAACACCCAGGCAACGCACAGGTAGCACCCAGGTAACGCACAGGTAAACAACACCCAGGCAACACACAGGTAACATACAGGTAAACGCAGCAACTCCGGTAACGCACAAGAACACAAAGGTAACACAGGTAACTCACAGGTAACACCCAGGTAACACAGGTAACACACAACTAGGTAACCCAGGTAACAG